CGAAGAGTACTTGGCTACCTAGGTTAAAGAGCTTTGAGATCTCTGATGGAAGGCGCTATACAAGTGCAATGTTTCTGTATTTTGTGCTTTTTACAGCTGACATGGATATCCAGGTTCCTTATAGATATTTCTTGTGTTGCAGAGCTGTGAGGAAAAATCTATTAGGAACACAAACATCCGTGTGGCTGACTTTGGAAGTGCCACCTTTGACCATGAGCATCACACTACTATTGTTGCTACTCGGCATTACCGCCCGCCAGAGGTGATTCTGGGTGAGTGGAGTTGCGCTTCTATCTTTACTGATGGGTTTTTGGTGAGTGGGCCACGGGGTACATTAGGGTAAGAATTTGGCTTTGTGAGAGAACTGACTGGAAAATCTCTGATTCTGGAATGGAGAAGGGGACAATCTACACTGGCATATTCAGACAAAAAGTTAAACCTGCTGCTGTGATGGGTCTCTTGGGAGCGAAGGTTTGGGTGGTGCTGCAGATGGGGGCATTGGGACTGCTGAGGCAGCACACCCAGTCTGCATCACGTCCAAAGCCTGGAACAAAGACGACGCTTTTGTATAAGCAAAATATTGTCCGTAAATATGTGCACAGAATTTTGGGCGAGTGCTCAGCGCAGAGATGTGGGATGCTCGTGTGAGGTATCGCAGTTGAGTTAATCAGAGAATAACCACTTCAGTGCATGTCTCTCTGATCCGGGACTCTGACTCCCAGAGGACTAAGCAGTCATCTCGCCACAGAAATTCACTGGGCGTGTAGCTGAGTTTTAGGTCTCTCCAGTTTTAAGCTCCACATTTATCACTGGAAGCTCAGTCATTTTCTCTCCTCTTCATTGCAGAGCTGGGCTGGGCACAGCCGTGTGATGTCTGGAGTATTGGCTGCATTCTATTTGAGTATTACCGTGGCTTCACACTCTTTCAGGTACACTTTTGCAAGGCCTTTATGCCCTTGACTGAACTGTGTAAGCTTTAGTTCCCAAATCGACAATGGGATTTATGCTCCTAATTTCCATTGAACTCAGTGGAAGTTAGGAGCCCAAATACCTTTGTCGATTTGGGCCTACATTTTTCTGGGTACCATGAGGAGATTGTCCTACTAGCCCGTCCTTGGAAGGGTGGGTTTAGACCTTCCTGTCTTTGTTATGTGACTGTTTCAAGGCTAAGAAAATAACCCAGTCGCTCTTCCTCCACAGACTCATGAGAATCGTGAGCACCTTGTAATGATGGAAAAAATCCTTGGGCCAATCCCATCTCCAATGATCCACAAAACCCGGTGAGAACCAGCTTCTGAACTCTGAGCAGCTGACTTGGCTGTTGCATTGTTCTGGTGATGGAGGAGTAGGCGGGATACCATCTCTGATGCAGAGAAGCCATACATCAGAATCCTAACACTAGGGTTGTAGCTCTGGGTGGAGATCATAGGGTGAAGAAAAGACTTGAACTTGAAATAAAGATGATGTTGTGTACAGGGGCTGGGAAAAATGGCCGAGCAGCCTAGAAATAGTGGAACCCTGTTACTCTATACCACTCAGAGGGCCTTGCCTAGGATTTCTTTCATACTTTTGCTGAGACAGGGCCACCGTTCCTGGCTGAGAAGACAGTGAACTTTCATGCAAACAGTATCAAAATCTGAAATGTCTATCATTTTCTGGCAGCATGGTCCAGTGGCTAAGGCACTACAGTGGGATTCAGGAGACCTGGGTTCTGTTCCCTGTTCTGCTGTTGACCCTAATGTTTGCCCTTGGGCAAGTCACTTCCCTTCTCTGCCTGTTTTTCCCATCTGTGAAATGGGAATGATACTTTACTATCTTTGTAAAGTGCTTTGAAATCCATGGATGAAAAGTGCTATATACGAGCTTTATATTAAAACCCAAAGTATTGGCTGCTAGAAATCATCTAGCTTGGCTTTAATGAGGCTCAACTTTTAAGACCACCTTGATTGCTGGCTAGGCTGCTAGAATACCCAGCATATAGTTTTCTGAAGTGCTTTGAAAAAGGGGTACAGCATCCTCTATGTAATATAGTTTGAGTCTTAGTACTGATGTTTGCCTTGCAGTGAAGCTATGCATACCCCATACATGTGCACCCCCAGATTTCTCTTGCAGATAGGACTCTTGAATAGTTCCTTTTATTGTACAGGAAACAGAAGTACTTCCACAAGGGGGGCCTGGTATGGGATGAGAACACATCAGATGGAAGATACGTCCAAGAGAACTGCAAACCACTGCGGGTATGAGACGCTGCTCTGATTTCTATAGAAAGCTTAGGTAGCTCTGCTATGGATGCTGAGATTCCTAGCTTGCACCGTGTCACCTGGCACATTCTTGGGAGTGAGATGACACTGGATGGAAATGGGGGTGCTGCTGTCAGTATCTAAATGACATGGGAGACAGATTGGTAGCTTCATTCCATATATGCAGGGAGCACCTTGGCACAAAAACAAAACCTTGCTGAGACTAGAGTGACTGGTCTGTCCCAATAGAATTGTTTTAAGCTGTATTAGCTTTTACAGGGCCTATTACCCAGTGCTTTATAATCACTCCCGATCCTGTTCCAGATCAGCTGTAGTCACAGTTAGTAAAGACTTCACTTTGTGTCAGTGCAGTGTGGTAAGAATCAGAAATTAGGGATGGAATTGTTAGGTCATGTAGCTCCTCCTCCAGCCAGTTCAGGACTGCTCCCTACACTGTGTTCTAGAGATGGGCAAGCCCTTAGAATTCCATGGCGGCACCACAGTCCCGCAGATGGGATTAGGAGTGGGAGCCTGATCTCTAATGGTGCTGAGCACTCCAGCTTCAGTGGATGCTCTGCACTTCTGAAACTCGGGGCCTTGGTTCTGTACAGGATCTGTGACTGGATTGCTGTGGCCTGGAGCAAGTCTCTTCGGGTGCCTCCAATTCCCCAGCTGTGAGATAGGAACCGTGATGGTGAAGATCGCTATAGAAAGATGTGCTGGTTACTCTTACTCTGCCTTTATTCTTAAAGGAAGCTGAGGACATGTCTCTGTCTCATGTCTGGCTAGTTTTATCCTTTCTGAGGCAGGACAGGGAACCCTCTCCTGTGGCTGCTGCTCACTGAAAGGACTTGGGGAGAACCCCAGCTTACAGGGAATCTGATCTTCCAAACTGTTCCAGGCAGGAAGGCTGAGGGGATCTGTGCAGGACTGCAGCTGGGCATGGCAGCCTTGGCTTTGTCTGTTGGAAGGTTGGGATCCAGCTTGTGTCCCCATCACAGGGCAGAGGAGCCCTGTGCTGGAGAGGAAGATTGGTTCCGTAATCAGGGAGCTAGACTGGGACTCCGGACACCTGGATTCCATTCCCTACTCAGCTGCCGACTTCCTGTGTGACCTTGGGCAAGTCACTTAGCGTCACTGTGCCCCAGTTCCTCCTCTGCCCAATGGGAGTGATAGCTCTGCCCTACCTTCCAAGGGGTGTGATGATAAATACAGTACAGAGTGTGAGATGCTCAGATACTATGGTGATGGGAGTGGAGGCTCTATGCAAGGGTACATATATGATGGCTCCCAAGGGATTTCACCCTACAAGGGAGTAGTAGTATGTAGGTGGGACTTCTCACCCAGTGGAGACCATCAGAGATTTGCCTGGTGCTCTACTGGATAAAAATTAATCTAATAGACATGGATGCAGCAGGAATGTGGGAGATGGAAGGGGCTTCAAGATGGGCCACATCAGGCTAGAGGTGGCTGTCACCTCAACAGAACTTGCACTGAGGCCAAAAATGTGGAACTGTTGATAGGGGAGCAGTGACACTTCCCTCAACATTTGCTTTGAGCTGCTGCTGTAGCCGGTGGAGGAAGACACTCGCCACTACCAGAGGGTTTTACCACCCCTAGCTTTGTCTGCTTGTGGAGGAAGTAAAGGGACAACCTTTGAAACTTTCTTTGAATGCCCAAAATCTCTTGTAACTTCCCTGGGCTTTCTCAGGAATAAAGGTATGATGGTGTAGCACCCTGTCACAGCTGTAGCGGTGTTGCCAACTCTCAAGCGTGGAGGGTCGTGTCTAGTTTTTTGCCAGATGTTTGTCTGCATTTTTCCACAGCTGAATCTGTACTATTCTGTTTCAGAGCTACTTGCTGTATGATTCACCGGACCATGTGCAGCTGTTTGACTTGATGAGAAGGATGTTAGAGTTTGATCCTTCCAAGAGGATCACATTCTCTGAAGCTCTGCTGCACCCGTTCTTTAGTGGCCTGTCTCCAGAGGAAAGGATGTTGTGTAGTCGAGTCTCAAACCGTGACCTGAGCAGATGACAGATGGGTGGGTGGTGATGCCTGCTGGATATGAACATACTCCTGGATCAGTCTGACCTCTGCTGTAGAGGCTCCAATCAGCCCTCCTGTAGCACAGAGTTCAGAGGTACTGGTGCAATGTGATATGGACCCTGGGCATGGGAGGGGGGAGAAGAAAGCTACATGGAAAGCACAGATGTCTCATATTTATATGTTGTAAAGTTAAAATAAAGTGTTTCTTATTGTTTGATAATTTACTTGTAGGAATGTGTCCAGCTATTTTTTTGCTCCCACCCTGCCATATTTTTTCTGTTAAATAAAGAGTGGTTTTATATTTCTCCACAAAACGGCATCGTTATGAATGTGAGATGTTCCTGCTTTACTGGCTCTAGGCAGTCCTTCATTTCCAAGCATGGTCTGACCTAACCTTGCTTTGTCCTCTCCATTAGCTAGTGTGTAAAAGGTTGTAGGACAGAGGTACTGCACTGTTAATCTCAAGGCTGGCTGGGGTATTGAAGGGGAGGATTGGGGTTACTTTTTGGTGACTTGCTAGTCCCCTTCAATAACTGCCAGGGAAATATAAATCCCTTTTCAAAACACTGGTAACTGCTTGTATTGTGCTTGGCTAAAGTCCTGAAGCACCTTATTCAGGAAAGTAACTAGTAGAATGTCTTGGCTTAATTGTGCAAAAGGGCTCTTTCTTGCAGGTGGGGCAAACTTTTCCCATATACATAAGTCACTGAACACACATGAATAGTTGCACTTTATTTCAAGGCTGGTATTACCCCAGCTGCTGCATGAATTGTGGAACAACAGTGTTTGTTATGATGATATGACTGAAGCATTGATTTGATTACACGGAGTTGTGATGCAATAGTCTTTACACTGGGTGCCTGAAGTCAGGTTTTTTCCACTGCTCCTGAAAAGAGGGTGCATGTTTTCTTCTGACAAGCTGTGAGGGAATGATGCAGAACTTAAATCTACTGTTGGTTACTATTGAGCAGTGAAAGTGGCATTTCTGCTTTCTAGAAAAGCAAAGTCCAGTACTTATTTATAGGCAGCTGCTTTTCCTTGGCCCTGGGAAAGTCAGCTCCTGAGTATTTACTACACCAAGTCCTTGCCCACTGGTGGAAATGTTCACATCCCTTGAAGCCTACATCTTAACAAAGAGCTCTGACAAATGGGCAGGGGGAGGCTGTATCCCTTCCTGCTGTTGTCTATTGCATCCAGCATAAAGCATGTGTGTCTGCAGTAGCTGTGTGACAATAAAAGGGCCAAGAATCCCAAAGCCTTGATCACATGAATGTGCAACAAGATGCATCTGGTCTAGGACAAGGCCAATTATTTCATTCCTCTGGCAAGAATACAACTCTGCTTGTCAGAAGAAAGCAAGCACCCTTACCCTTGTGCTACTTAGAAGGGAGAATGCATTAAGTTTAGTAACACACACAACTTGTCCCAAAGCCTCGTAGTTGTGCTTGAGATGAGTCTGTCAGTGCCCACACACTTTCACTTGCCCAGAGGCATCAAGTGTCTGTAGCAGCAATAACACTGGGTACTTTAATTCTTTATTTAAAAAATAACCCTTTGAGCAATTTTTACTACCTCTTCTAATATGGCTGGTAGGACCTCAGCCACTGATGCATGCTTCAAAGTGCTTCTTAACCTTTCCAATCTTGCACCCTGCTCACAAAGGACAGAGTTGAATAACCAACCTTCAACGTGGACAAGTTTAAGATGCTTGTAAAATAGAGGAGAGGAGACAAGCAGCAGGCTGTTTTCTAACAGGTGAGAGTCAGCTCTGCTTTTATAAAGGAAGGTGAAAACAAGACAATGACAGAGTTACCGGTACAGGGATTAATCAGTTTTTCACCTTGTGTAGGCAGTTGCTACATCCTCAGTACCTTAAACTAAAGCTGGCTGCAAGGATAACCCCTCACCATGCTGTCAATAACCAGCCCTTAGCATTAAATGCTATTGCATTAAGCTGAAACTAGTGTTTTACCTGAGGCATAGGTGCTCTAAGCCTTGCAGAGAAACACACACAGAGCTACAGCCAGATACACCCAATGATGTTAGTGAAGAGTTCAGTCATTGATAATCTGTTAGCACTAAGGCCATTAAGTGTAAACCAGTGGACAGAGTTTAGTAGTCTAACCCTCTGCATGAGAAATGTGCTGAACCCCAGGCCCTTTATCCTCATGAGGTAGATGAGTTCTGTGCTGTTTGGCAGGGGAAGTCCTTTAACAAGCCCAGATGCAGCAGAGTCCTGACTGTGCTGCCTGGATACTAATGTACCATGGAATAAGAGCAGGGCAATTCTCCAATGCCCCTGCCCAACATTCCCACACCATGTGGTATGAAATACCTGCTTGCCATCTCCCCTGGGGTACATTCAATAGTGCTCTACAGATTAGGGTGTGGTGTATTTTCCCATTCTTCAGTGACTTGGAGCAGTGCTCCGGTAGACAATCTTTCTTCTTTTTGATACTGGAAGTCTCTTCCCAGCCACCCTCTTTTTTACTTCGCTTGGTGCACTCAGCTTTGTTTCTAACAGCTCTTCTATGATGTGTAGTGACAGGACTTTTTTTTTTTTTAAAACATACAAGTGCCTGACTCGTATCCCCCCATAACCCAGCTAGTTGAACAGGGTGCTCTGCATGCAGTTTCTTCATGAGTTCAGGTGCTGAATACCCCCACACAACAGCTGCTCTACACTTTAGCAAGAGGAGATCTAGCTCCCCGGGGAAAGGCACCAACAGAAGCTTTGAAGTCAGTCAGTGCCAGCACAGACCTACCAGGCCAGTAGAGTCCCATGCTGAAGGCAGAACTTATGCTCCCAGCAAAGTTCAAACCGCAGCAGAGGAACATAGGTCTGTTTTGCTAGAAAGGAAATTTGGAAAGCTCAGAAACTCTCAGGCAGAGCACTGTTTTGGTCCAAGTTTAATATTTCTCATCACTAGCCAGTGATAGTTTGGCACTTTTAGAGACAATAAAAGGGTCCAGCATGATAGATTTACAGAGCCAGCCAAAGGTTCAGGAACTCACTTACTCTAGGCAGTGCAATGAATACAAATACTTTCCTTGCAGCACATAGGGGAAAAAATCTGCAGCCCCAAACCAGCTAGCAAAGTAAAAAGGGTGAGACTACCTACAGTAATTCAGGTCAGACCTTCCCCTCAAGGGTGATGTAGCTGGAAAGATCAAAGCTTTCTGAAAGCCACATGATACAACAGTGGTCACTACCAGTGGTGATGCCTGAGGCATAAGGGACCAGATTTCAGTGCACTAGTGCATGCAGGAGCAATACTGCAGATGCTTCTGAAGGCAGCCTAACAAATCAGCTTGCCAAGCACAATAGCATTTGCTGTAGCACTACCAACATCATCTGTGCCCAGGAGGCCATACAGCTAGTAGTGCTACAGTGAGCTGACAAGCAGGCCTGGAGGAAGATTCCTCCACTAAAGAGTTAACATAAGCCTTCCATAACACCCCCCTAACACACTGTGCACGTGCTCCTGTCTCCCAGGCTGTCTGCATATTAAGACAAACAGCATTTGACTCATCTTTACAGTTTGCATAACCAGGAGAGGCAAGTGCCCTATTATTTCCACTGACTCCATTGAGATCCATGTGGAACAGTGCATTAGAACAAAGCACATATGCTTTTTAGGAGGGAGGATCCTCCCCCTGACGTGGCTGTTGCTCCCAAAGGGAATGGAACATTGCCATGCTTCACAAGACGTATTCAAGTGCAGGGTGTGCTGCGGGGGGGCCACTGAGGCTCTACAATAATATATCCAAGCACTACCTGTGCTGAACACAAGGTATTAAAGAAAAGAGGGTAACATGCGCCTGTTCCCCTCACATCTCCAAATCACTGAGGTTACTCAGCTCGCTGGAGAAATAAAAACCCACCTTAGAAAATGCCTTTCCCAAAGCACTGTCTGGTGGAAGGACACCCTGGTAAACACCTCACTCCCCTACAGTTTCCAGACCCGGGCTGCATTCACTCAGCAAGCGGTCAAGGAACAAAAGCTTTACACCCGCTTTCTAAACAGGGAGCCCCATCCACAGGGGTTTGGCAGCTCCAGGAAGAGACTTAACTATAATTGCTCTCATGAACATAAAAGAAAGAAAATGAACAAAATCAAAACAGTAAAACTGTAACAGACATTTCTACATTATCATTGAGGGGTTCTGCTCCTGAAAGGGGCCCCCCACTGGGCCAAATTTCCCCCCCAGAAGTACTAAAAAAACCAGAGCATCATCTTGTAAACCTCCAAGTTGTCTGACAGTCAGTTGCATCTGAAAAAGAAACCCTCTCACCCACTTTAACCATCCTCTGGCTGGTGACCAGACACTGCCTTTCCCAATGTTAGATACCAGCTTCTTCCACATTCCTTCATCCAATGGCACAAGAGAGAGAAAGCATCTTGCAGTAACATTTGCTCCCTTAATTTTTATGTTTTTAATACACATATTTCTTCTGGAAGAAACAAACTCCAGAACTTTAAGGCGTCAAGAGTTTACTTGTCAGGATCCTTTATACAGCTTGCTAGGCAGGACTCTGCCCCATCTCCCACTCCAGGGCTGATACACTGCAGGGTCTGCTCTATGTTGAATGCAGCGGGATGACAAATTTGCAGCCAAAGGGTGAGTGGTAGTTTATTCCCACTTCCTGAAAGACTTTCTGTGGAATGCCGATGTCGCACAGATATACTCGCCCTGCCCTCTCACCCAGCGGCAGGGGCAGGCCCAGGGCCAGTGACCACTTGGCATCAATGCCCTGCTCCATTTCACTCATAGGAGGGTCTATGCTGAGGACAGGGGCTCGGTTCTGGTTGGCCCAGTCCACAGCTGCTTTGTACCAAGGCTGATCTCTCAGGAAAGCATTTTCATGACAATCCAGGCAGTTTATCACCAGGTCAACAGGGGTATCTGGGAGATCTGAAACAAACATGCATGTTTTAATGTGCATCCAGTACCAGCGTAGGAGAGAACCTCCCCTCCACAGAAACTGCAGCTGCCTACAAAGAACTGTACTCCCAACCTCCTTCCCTGCATCTCCAGGAGAATTCTTCCAACCTCCCTACAGAGCAAGAGGCCTAAAGGAGGCCCATTTTAGCACTCAGAAGCAGCAAAGTAACAACAGACTTTGCCAGCTAGATATAGACTCTCCCACAGCCGTCTGCCAATGGAACTCAAAGGCTTGAGTTGCAGGTTGGCAATTTCTGCTCATCATGCTGAAGTGTGGCACTTTTGGGATGGACGTGGTTGAAATTGATCAGTTTTGAATCCAGGCCTCCGGAGGGACATCACTTCAATGAACCAACTGGCCCCCTGAAGAGACCACTTGCCAGAACAGCTCTGTCAGGTTATGCGGTAGTACCTGCAATGTAACACCAGGTTCTAATGCGGAGTGTCTTGTTGTGTATAGCCTGGCCACTATTCCTCTCCTCCGGCCCACTAGGGCCCTACACAATGAGTTTTATGCCTAACATTTGTCAAGCTTTAAACATGCTTTAATCTGGTGGGGAAAGTCCCCTGGATTCTAATTGAATCTACTGCCAGGAAATCTTATAAAACAGCCAACGCTTTTGTAAACCCTACCCAAAAAATATGATTTGCTCAGCTGAGCCACCACAGCTCTCCAGGGATCAGTGGTATACCATTGTCACTAACGATATCCAAAGAGATCCATTAAAAAAACATGGGGGAGGTTTACCAGCCAGAGAAGAAGAAAACTGGGAAGGGGATGGGCATTTTGGAGAATGTGCCATTGGTTAGGCAGCTGGTGTGCTGCAACTGCTGCTTGTCACGCTGATCAGTACTATCTCGTCGTTTTCTTGTATTCCCCCCACATCATCTGTCTATTGTATTCACCTGTTGTCTCATCTTAAAAAAAGTAATTGCACGATTAATTGCACTGTTAATAATAGAATACCATTTATTGAAATATTTTTGAATGTTTTCTACATTTTCAAATATATTGATTTCAATCTCAACACAGTTTGTGTACAGTGCTCACTTTCTATTTATTTTTGAATACAAATATTTGCACTGTAAAAAACAAAATATATAGTATATTTCAATTCACCTAATACAAGTACTGTAGTGCAATCTCTTTATCATGAAAGTCGAACTTACAAATGTCAAATTATATACAAAAAATAACTGCATTCAAAAATAAAACAATGTAAAATTTAGAGCCTACAAGTCCACTCAGTCCTACTTCAGCCAATCGCTCAGACATACAGGTCTGGTTAAATTTGCAGGAGATAATAGTGCCCACTTCTTGTTTACAATGTCACCTGAAAGTGAGAACAGGCGTTTGCACGGCACTGTTGTAACCAGTGTCGCAAGATATTTACATGCCAGATGCGTTAAAGATGCATATGTCCCTTCATGCTTCAACCACCATTCCAGAGGACATGCATCCATGCTGATGATGGGTTCGGCTCGATAACAATCCAAAGCAGAGTGGACCGATGCATGTTCATTTTCATCATCTGTGTCAGATGCCACCAGCAGAAGGTTGATTTTTTTTTTTGGTGGGTCGAGTGCTGTAGCTATTTTTAGAAATCTCACATTGGTACCTCCTTTGCGTTTTGTCAAATCTGCAGTGACAGTGTTCGCAAATCAAACAACATGTGCTGGGTCATCATCCAAGACTGCTATAACATGAAATATATGGCAGAATGCAGGTAAAACAGAGCAGGGACATACAATTCTCCCCAAGGAGTTCAGTCACAAATGTAATTAACGCATTTTTTTTTTAAATGATCATCATCAGCATGGAAGCATGTCCTCCAGAATGGTGGCTGAAGCATGAAGGGGCATACGAATGTCTAGCATACCTGGCATGTAAATACCTTGCAACGCCGACTACAAAAGTGCCATGCAAACGCCTGTTCTCACTTTCAGGTGACATTGTAAATAAGAAGCAAGCAGCAGTATCTTAGCGATTGACTGAACAAGAAGTAGGACTGAGTGGATTTGTAGGCTCTAAAGTTTTACATTGTTTTTGAGTGCAGTTATGTAACAAAAAATCTACATTTGTAAGTTACACTTTCACGATACAGACTGCACTACAGTACTTGTATGTGGTGAATTGAAAAATACTATAATTTTTACAGTGCAAATATTTGTAATAAAAAAATTAATATAGTTAATATAGAAAAACATTCAAAAATATTTAATTTCAATTGGTATTCTATTATTTAACAGTGTGATTAATCCCGATTAATTTTTTTGAATTAATCGCGTGAGTTAAGTGTGATTAATCGACAGCCCTACAAATAATCCATAGGTATGTAAAAGGGAATGCCACTGGTGACCACTAAGTGGTGCCACTGGACTAAGAATACACGACAATATTAGAATAAACACGCTCAATTAGACAGACAAGTTCCCTTCCAAGAAAAATGGGTTACTTACCTGTACAGTAACCATTGTTCTTCGAGATGTGTTGTGCACATATACTTTCCATTGAGACTCGAGTGCATTGGGTGCACACACACCTACAGCGGAACATTTCTGTGCACAATCACTCGAAGGAAAACTGTTGATGCTACGACAGCGCAGGCCTTCAGTGCTGCACTCATAAGTAGGACCTGACTGTTTCAGCACAAGCTTCTTCAAGTTGCTCAGTGTCCCAGCTGTCACCAAAGCCTTACACTGCTTACCTTTGACACTGGACACCTGCTGGCCTTGGGTTTTGCTGAAGAGGTTCAGCTCATTAGTGATGGATTCCAGCATCTTGACAAAGTTGGGTAGGAAGAGAATGACATGAACGTCATGGTTGGAAAGATGCCGTCCACAACTGATTCCCTGGGCCCCCTTCACATGGGGGCCACACAGCAGAGCCACTGTGGGTCGCTGGTGAACATTTTTAGGATTCAACCTGAAACACAGAGATGGGGAAACCATTAAAACCCAAGTGTCTTCTGCATTCTTTCCATGGGAGAGTGATGACAATAGAATCTAGAGCATGGAGGTCCCAGAAATCTCCCTAAGCTGTTTAACGATCTGAAGATGAGGAACCCAGAGTTCTCCTGCTCTGGAAAGACACATATATATGCTGTGACAGCATCTCATTCTGTCCAGCACACATGCACTGGGAAATTACTGATGACCTACCCGTTCCACTTCAGTGTTTCCTCAGAAGGTAAAACAGACAGCAAAACTCTGGAACCTTGCAGCACTATTCTATTCATCTCACCAGTACCCTGTCCACAAGGGCTCTGTTTCAAAACAAGGGGGCACTTCCACTGGATGCTTAGAAGGTGTTGCAGTTCAAGCAGGTTTGAGTTCCATGGTTTCACCTTTTCCTTTGTTTGGCTCTCTTTTTGTGGGGCTTTGCTGTGAGACCATTGTTCTATAGTAGCATACAGTGCAACACAGTGAGAATAAAAGAGCCATTTTGCCCCTCTTCAATGGGCTTGTTTTGAACCCAAGAAAGGAATGAATGACTAAGAGCTTTTTAAAGCATAGTAATGCCACCATGAACTTCGGGTTCACCTCAGACCGATCAGATACATTAAAAGGTAGAAAACAATTCATACTACCATATTTTTAAAGCACTCCTATTACCTCCCTGCACCACCAGTTTCAGGTGCAACAACAGATTAAGTGGATTTGTCTACTTTCTATCCACCAAGGCAGGCTCATGAATGATCTCAGGGCATAAGCAAGCATCAGTTGTTAGGGAAAGCGCTGCTGCTGTGTAGACAATGTTTTGTGAGACATTGGACTGAGGTGCAGCACTATCTACATAACAGAAGCGGGAGTTAGGGCTCTCTCTCCAGTGGGATGAAAATACCTTAAAACATTAGGGTCACGTAAATCAGGCTTAAAAGTATATTGCAATTATGTGTCTACTTGACTAGTTAGTGACTGCACACTGAAGGCAGGTATTTGCTCACACAAGGGGCGTGCGCGCACACACATGCAGACAGGACCAACTGCATATCTGACCTCTTGTCAAATTAGGCCCCAGGAAAAGATTAAGACTCCCAAACTGGATTCAAGTTTAAAAAAAACCTAAGTGATATTGTAACTAGATGGTGCATTCCTCTTAGTTCTTGAGTTTTGTTTTTATTGGCATCTGCTTTTAAAAATATGACATTTAAAATAAATACCAAAAGAAGGGTTTCGTTATTCATGCAAAGGATCAGCTAATCCGAAATTATAAGTGTTTTCATCTTTCTTGAGTTACGTCTTCCCTGAGTTAGCTTCTCTGAAAAAGTTTCCACCAGGAATTGAGTTATTCTTTATTCCCTCCTCTGTTGATTTTGTATTTGACCAAGGGACATTACTCATTCTGGGATATAGAAACCCAGGCGAAGCCATGAGTAAATCAATACATCCAGAGTACTGGAATAAGGATGGTTTCTCCAAGAGGGTTTCCTGGTGCTCTATATACATACAATGTAGGGGGAGGGACAATAAGAAAGTGAGACTATAGGCAAAGCTCTCCCCTCGGTTGGCATTTAGTCATCTGGATTACTGTCTCATTTTCATGGTCATTTGAGGACTGACGCATGAATACAGTGTGGGGTTTGCATAACAGGCTAGAATAGTGCTTCTGTGTCCAGACAAGGAGGGAGAGCATCTAGACAAAGCCACATCTGGCCATCTGGATTAGCATGGCCCTGTATGTACGATGTAGTAGTTACTGTGATGGATCAACAATACCCTGCAATATCCTGAATGAACTTTCTGAATTAAATGAAACTTTATAAAATTAAGTTTAACATTATTGGGGTCCATTATATTAAACATGCAACTGTGTATGTTTTATTGTGGAACTGTATGGGCTTGTCTACACTGGCACTTTACAGCACTGCAACTTTCTCACTCGGGTGTGAAAATACACTGGCTGGGAGCCAGATACCTGAGAGCAGGTGCCCTTGCTGGACAGGTGCAGTGTCCTGAACTGTGACAGTTACAAAGATTTTCACTGGAGACTACTTTATACAACTTCCTTTGGCCACATCTTTGATGAACAAGCTGGTTTCCGTAAACTCCATTCACAAGGCAAATGGGGAGATTCACAGCAGGGATTTTTTGGTTGTTTACCTGTTGGGTCCTCCGAGCAGACTCAATGCCATCTGGCTGGCGCACACCCCAGTCATCTCCAGTCTGCGCTCCAGAGTCAGCCCATGTTTCTCAGCTACTGAAAGCACCTTTTTGTGCAGTTCATAAGAGACGCTTGGGACGACTAGCCCAGAGTCTGCAATTCAAAGAGAAGGGGAAGGAAGGACAGAATAATCAGACACATCCAGAGGGTTAAGATCTGTTCTGAACTAAGGGCTGGTCTACACTGGGGGGGGGAAGAGGGATCGATCTAAGATATGCAACTTCAGCTACAAAAATAGCGTAGCTGAAGTCGACATATCTTAGATCGATTTACCTCGGGTCCTCACGGCGCGGGATCGATGGCCACGGCTTCCCCGTCGACTCCACTTCCGCCCCTCACTCTGGTGGAGTTCTGGAGTCGACGGGGAGCACATTCGGGGATCAATTTATCGATTTAGGTGAGACGCGATAAATCGATCCCCGATAGATCGATTACTACCCGCCGATCCAGCGGGTAGTGAAGATGTACCCTACATGACAGACCGCTCCTAAATGAATATAACAAAGAGGCTACTTGTCTCTACAGGAGGTCCCCTTATCTCTGAAGGGTGGATCAGCAGCTGTGCTCCCAGCAGGCTCCAGCTCCCTTCAGGAGGCAGCCATTTGAATCTCAACTAGCTAGGTGTTGCACTTATTCGGCACACTGCCACAAGAACTATTTCTTCAAGGGGTGTGAGAATGACTGCTGCACTACAGCCTGCATTCTCCTCTAGGCTCCTAAGAAACAAATTTGGAGGACAAACCACAATTACTAATTGGGAAAGGGGCCTCCTGGCTCAAGTTATTACTGCAAGCATGCCCAGAACTTGAAAAAAAAGGTTTCTTTGGAAGTAACTTAATCCCGGAAGCTCAACAGCAAAAGTGACCTCGTCTTAGTAGACCCCTGTCCTCGCCAACTAGCAGCCTCTGCTCAAGAACAGGACAGCAAGGGGAGCGTGGCAATTCTGGATTGAGGAGTCTTTGGGAAGGACGTTTCCCCAAACTTCTGCTTACTCCATGTCTTACCCAGTGCTATCTGATTACCACTACCACAAGCACTAGCATTTCCCTCCTTAATGAGAGCGCGGTTACATTGTTTCTAAACCCAGACTCTCCAGGATAAACTGCCCCACAGCCTGGAGACTGCCCTAGGATGGAATCTCCCCCTCAGCGAGTGGAATACATGGATAAACTGAAAAAGGTAGATGGATTTGTGAGGGCAAACTGTATAAAAGCCAGCCAGTTTCCTACTTCACAAGTCTCAAAACAAAAAATTTTTCTTCCTCCATCAACTTCTTATTCATATAGCTGGCGAGGACACATGTTACTCACACCACCTATAATCCCCTAAATCTTAGCGGCTTCACATCACCACCAGAAGAAATGAAAGGGTGTCCCCCACAATCCCCTATACTGTGTCACCCTGTCTCAGACTTTATGCAACCTCCAAAAAACCCCAAATGTCTTCTCTGGCTGAACTGATCTCAGCAGGCGGTGCTGGCTTCCTGCCCAGGAATCCATACCTCTAAACTCAGAAAGATAGCAAACTAAAGCCCTGTAACTATATAGAGTGGGATTCTCAAGAGTTTTTGCAATGGTATTTGGGGACCTACCTCTTGCCAGTCCTTTCAATAATCCAGCCATAGACTTTATCAGGCAGCAAACAGCTCAAAGGCTTCTGATTGGTGACTGTGATAGTTTTACCATGGCACATCCCAATCTAAGAACCAGCCCTATGCAGAGTGTGGCTGAGAAAATGGTTCAATTGCATTCTGCAATTATTTTAGTTCTGTTTATTAACAGCTCTCATCTTCTGCAAGCCCATGAGAGCCATCCTTCAAGTACTTATACAGCATCATGACAGCCCACAGAGCAGCTGGGCTTAGAATAATATGGCAGACATCCATCCAAAGGGCAGCCCATGGATAACTCCTTTAGGGGGAGAAGATCTTGTAGCCTGAAAACTCCACTCTTATTCTTTAAATTACTTGGGTTCTTTACTAGGGGCTTCCATGACACACTGAACACAAGAAACCACCTCCAAACTCATTACAAGGGATGTGCACATGGCTGTGACAGACTTTAGTGGCACTGGAAGCCAGGGAACAGAAGCTGTGACCTAGAAGCACCCCAAGGAGAGGAAAGATATTATACCTTTACTTGACAATAATGACCAGCCAAATTAAAGGATCCTGAAGCTCCAAAAGGATGAGACCACCAACCTCTACACATTTTGCTCAATCCAGCCTCATTATCTGTTCAAGTTCATTATCCCTAACACAAGTAACGTAAAACAAATATCTTTGAGCTAATGGAGGATAGCTGTCAAGGTCACCTCAGCTGTACCCTGCCGGGGAAATCTGTAGAGCCCTGCAAATCTGCAGATATCCGTGGATGAGGATATATGGGAACCATTTTTGCAGATCAGATGTGGATACAAATTTTGTATCTATGCAGGGCTCTAGAAATCTGGTCACAGAACACCAAGTCCCAACAAGAACTATATCATTCCAGGATCTGCTCTGGTTCTCCACACAGCAAAATCCCAGAGGGACAGAACTTCTGCCAGGATCACATGGGCACAAGAATAATGAAGAGATCACTATATATTTCTCAGTGTTTATCCGACACTTGTGTGTTGTTTGGCAACACCATTCTCTAACACACCAGGACTTGCCCCAACTCTGGAGTGGAAAAAAAGACTGGATCAGCAGGACTGAAGTGCTGAAAATAACATATCCTGCTGCGATGGATGGCAGAGTAGAGATGTTTTCTCACTTCTACAGTGAGATCCCAAGAAGTCAACAGGTAAAACAAGCTGGATTTTAAGTATTTGGAGCTATGACTACCCAATTCTCTACAACCCTCCAACTCTAAGCAAGAATGAACTTGCACTAATGGGGCCCCTTTCATGCAATGAATCTCAAGAATTGTACAGACTTTACTAATTTTGGAAAATCCACTTCCCTGCCACAGAAAGGCAAACCCCTCTGAGTTGGAACACAGCAGCTGTAAACCGGCACACGACAGCAATACATAACCGCTTAGGACAGGAAGTTTAGAATACTGTATCCAATTCAAAATGCAGGGGGAATCAGGTAGAAAGAATGTGCTCGCAAAATATCATTGGATCTTTGACCACACAGGTCAAGACCTTTAACATCTCAACTAAAAGTTTTCAAATAATGCAGCACCTTCTAGCGCTGTGCTAGAATAATGGCTCAGTAAAAACTCTAGGGATATATGATACTCGTCCCTCAATATTCCACCCTGCAGTACCTGGATTTCCCTACATACCAGCACAGCTCAATTCTGCTTAGCTTGTGATATTTGATAATCACAGCTTGAGGGGGAATGACTGCAGGCAGGCAAGCAAGTTCTTGGCTCACTTCTGTTTGGCTAAATCAGATACACTGCTCTGAACTGAATAAGCAGTGCCTAGAGGCATTCAGGAACAATCAGCAGCCTCCAAATGAGTGAAGGCTTTGGGATTTATTGTTGAACATTCTGTCTGTTGTCACTTTGTGGGACTGGCAGGTGAGAGGCACAGGAAGCATGAGGGAGATACATTACAGATAAAAAAAATGTACATCACTCACAAGAAGATGAAGCTCTCTTTTACAGCTTAGGCATGGCATGAAGTGCCAGGCAGAGGGCCTAACTGAAGTGCCAAAAAATCTGGTACTTTCATTAATGTTGCCCTACTTCTGCAATAGTCACAAACATCAATCCTGATTCATTTTCACACATGTATCAGTTACAAACGCAGTCTACGTATGAACCCAGGAACAGCGTCAATTCAGCTAATGGTGTAGCTGCACTGGTGCCAACTCCCAAACACCAACAAGGGCAAGCCAGAGTTTGCACCAAGAGAGCTAGCTCAGGTTCCCCTTAGCTCAATCAATGTAACCCATCTGCTTGCCCTTGTCTACCCGTACGGTGTTGCAGATCACAAAGACTGGTGGAGTGGTAAATAATGACGATAGGGCAATCATACAGAGTCATCTGGATTGCTGAGTGGGCTGGGCTGATGCAAATAAAATGGTTTTAATATAGCCACAACTGCAAGGACCAAAGAATGCAGGCCATACCTACAGAATGGGGAACTGTCTCCTAGCAGTGACTCTGAAAAGGGTTTAGGGGTCACAATGGCCAAGCAACTCAACATGAACTCCCAGTGCGATGCTATGGGAAAACTGACAAATACAATTTGTGGATATACAAACAGGGGAGTAGGGAAGCACTGGTGAGACCAGGACTGGAATATTGTGTGCAGTTCCGATGTCCACATTATAAACAGGATGTTGAAAAGTTGAAAAACAGGGTGCAAAGAGAACCACGAAAAACTGTTTGAGGGCTGAAGAAGATGCCTTACAGTGAGAGACTTAAGCTAAACAGAGCGAGCGCAAAACGAAGCTCAAGAGGTGACTCGATCACAGTGTATAAGTACCTTCATAAAGGGAGAAAACACCAGCTACTAAAAGGCTCTAATCTAGTGGAGAAGCAAAACAGGAACCAATGGCATGATGTTAAAGCCAAATTCAAATTAGAAACAAGGCACAATTTTTTAACAGTGCAGGTGATCATTTGTATTCCTGTAGCACCTAGGAGCCCTAGTCATGGACCACTGGAACAAACGATCGGAAGTGGTGGATTTTCCATCTCTCAAGATCTTCAAGCCCAGATGCCTTTCAGGAAGTTATGCTTTAGTCAAACAAATTATTGGGCTCAATGTTGGAGTAACTTAGTGAAATTCAATGGCCTGTATTGTCAGGCTAGATCTAATGGTCCTTTCCGGCCTTAACATCTAGGAATGTGTTGAAACAAACTAGACCCATTACTGCTACAGAGAAGTGGAACAGTTTTGAACACTTGACCTTGCATGTTAACAGCTAATTAAAAGACTTTTCTGTAATCAAGCTTTTATTACATGCAGCACATATGCAAGCATGTGTATTATCAGAAGTAATTTAAAACAGTTGATAGCAGCAACTTCAAAAAGCTGAACGTTCAGAGTCCTAAGCCACTAACGATCTTAAACCTGTCAAACTAGTCACGCACCTGTCAGTGTTCACACACCCTCTCTCCCTCCAGAGTCACGCAAGGTTCAACCAT